AAGAGAAATTGGCTAAGAGCGGAGGGCCCCCCACCCTGGCGCGCGTGAGGGTGTGTGGCCTTAACCCCCGAAAATCCCCCCCCGAGGGGTGGGGGCTGGGGAATTCTGGGAGTTGAAGTCCACACATCTTCAAGCGGTCAAGGTTGAGAAACACTGCTACAGAGGTTGGTGGCTTTATAAATGTTAATAATCATAATCATAATTATAAATCTAAAGGACACATATACACAGAAATCATCATTGCACAGCCTCTCCCCTACAGTCCAGCATGGGTGGGGTGCATTCTTCATGCCACATGCAGCTTTGGGGGCTAAAAAGATTGCCCTTGCGCACCACAAAGCCCCAGCACATGGCAAGGATTCTGGGAGATGCAGAGAGGGGGGTCCGGCTGAAACCCAACAGAGGGAAGGATGGATGGCGTGCAACAAATATCCCACTCCAGCCCATGAATCTGTAAAGTCCTCGAGAAATCATTTCAGGTGGGCTGCACGACACCCGGAATCAAAGGAGGCCAGGGAATGCGCCCATTTTGCAGATGAGGAACACTGAGGCTAAGAAGTAGGGGCTTCATGCCAAGCCCACTATGACAGAGAGTTTTTTTTTAAGTGCTTTGTTTTAGTTGCTATTGTTGAATAATAATAAATATTATTATTAAATTGTTACTTAATCTTAGAAATTAATTTAATAATTAAATAATTATTTCGGAGGCAGAACCTCGGACTGGTTTACTGCGGACCCATGTCCACCCACACCCCCATTATAGGTAGCCTGAGCGGATCGTAAACATCTTCTAACGTACTGAAGGGTTTATTGCGAAGATAAAAGAGCAACGGAAATCACAAGGAGGTCCCTTGCAAGCTTTCGCGGGAAATGGGATTCTGACAAATAATTATTTTGTCTCCTGCCCATCCTGACAGTTCCAAATGATGGTGGTGGAACTGGGTTCTTTTCTTTTCATTGCCTTTCTAGCTGCATCCTCTTCTAAAAAATACAGATCATACAATTTAACCCAAGTCACTAGATCCAGCAATCTGTATTTTCCACTGAACTTAACCCAGCACCGGTGACAGTAGTTTGAAGTTTGCGGAGGTGAGGAGAAGGGGAGTTCAACAGATGGCCTTGAAAGTTTTAGGAACTTTTCGACACGTCTCCAAACGTACATATATTTATTTTGGATTTTGGCCGTTTTGTTTCAGTGCGTTGTTTCCATGAATATATGCCTTTTCCCCGCTGACTTTTCTCATCCCTTCCCTTCCCTTTTTATGGGTCACCAACACTACCAAATTCAAAACAGTAAGAAATAGTTTCAGTTCATGAATTGGTTAAAAAAAAAGAAACAAAGCCCAAAATTCTCCTACGTCCTTAATTGGTTTTAGGTTTTATCGGTTTTTACGGGGTGGGTTGGTTTTGTATGTCGCCCAGAGTCCATTGGATGTGGACGGCTGTAATAAATTTAAATAATCGATAACTAAAAACATGCTCAAACTTATAAGCAAGTAGTAAGCAAGCTTTAAACCATTTGCGATACAAAATCAGGTGTGGTTTTTCCTTCCCTTTCTTCTTGTCAGATATTCTAAAGGAAAATCACTGTTTTCTTCTTTTCCCCACTAAAAAGACATACTGCAGCCAAGATGCTCTGAGTTTCTCAAGTCTCTTTTAATATTCATGGTCATGTACTGACTAAACAAAGCAGAGCGGTAAATTGATTGTGCCATACTAGGAAACAGTGCCACAAGTTTCTCAAGTCTCGTTTAATGTTTCGGGTCGTGTGCCCGCAGAGCAAGAATAAGCTGGTAAACTGATTGCATTGTGCTATGAAATGATGCCAGCCAAAAACTGGAAAGGAGCACGGTGACGGTTTTAGAAAAGGACAGGAAATATCATTGAACAACAGGAAACAATTGTGTTTCAACACTCTTGAACCTCTTTTCTTTTTTCAGTTTCCACCAGGCTTCCTTCTGACGGGCTGCGGTCCACGGGCGCCTCTGCTGGAATCGTTTGCAACTTTGGCGAAGACGTTGAATGTGGCTGCCGCTTGTGCATCAGTTCTCCTCTGGAGACGCTGGACAAGCCTTTGCTGCTTCTCCCCGCTAGTCAAATTCAGCTTCTCCTAAAGCAGAATTTGGACATCTGGTGTGCAACCCGTGTGTGGCTGCCATAGTCTTGAAAAGGCAGAGGAAGCATCTGGTGTCATCCCAGGCACGACTTTCCAACCACAGGTCCACCTGCATTGCCTAATTCCTGCTCTGAATTAGGTTTTCTTTCCCCCACAACATGACAGAACAAAGCCTTTTCTCCTTCTCCTCCTCCTCCTCCTCCCCTCCTTCTTCATTCCCTACTTCTGCCCTTGGGCCACGTCTTGGCTCAGTCCGTGGCCAAGAGCCCTGCTCCCTCTTGGCCGCCACCAAGGACTTCAACATCATTTTGCATCATTATAACCTCACCGGGAGGCTGAGCAACCGGCGTCCCCAGGAAGACCACTTAGATGCCCTCAAAATCATCATCATTGCTGCCAGCTGCCTCATCATTTTGGAGAACTTAGTGGTTCTGCTGGCCATCATCTGGAAAGTGAAAAGCCAGCGCTGGATCTACTCCTGCCTAGCCAGCATCTCCTTCAGCGACCTGCTGGCTGGCATTGCCTACTTGATCAACCTCTGCTTCTCGGGAAGCAAGACTTTCCAGCTCTCACCCAACATGTGGTTCCTCCGGGAAGGGATCCTTTTCATTGCCTTAGCAGCCTCCATCTTCAGCCTGCTGGTGACGGCGATCGAGCGCTACAACACCATGGTGAAGCCTATTGCCGAAAGCGAGTCCAGCAAGACCACCCGTCTCCGGTGTCTCATCGTTTTTTTCTGGATCTTGGCCATTGTGATTGGGCTGCTCCCCTTGTTGGGCTGGAACTGTATTTGCGACGTGCCCCGCTGTTCCACGTTGCTGCCTCTTTATACCAAGAATTACATCCTCTTCTCTGTCATCATGTTCACCGTCATCCTGCTGGTCGTGGTGAGCTTCTACATTTCCATCTACTCCTGGGTCGTGAAAAGAACTAAGCAAGGTTTCTCCAACGGAGGCCGTAGCAGATCGCTTCGGCTGCTGAAGACGGTGCTACTAATCCTTTGCACCTTCCTCATTTGCTGGATCCCTCTGTTTGTCCTCCTGCTGATCGACATCTTTGACAGGAGCAAGGCCTTGAAGCTCCAGAAGGTCTTTGGCTGGATTGTGACCTTGGCGGTGATCAACTCGTTCATTAACCCCATCATCTACTCTTTGATAAGCAAAGAGGTGAGGAGAGCCGTGGTGCAACTTCTCTGCTGCTGCTGCATCTGGGCAGGGTGGCAAGGTCCAGGCGGCTGTCTTGCCCCCAGCGAACTCCCCCTGAGCTCTTCCACAGGGATGGGGAGTTCCCTGAAGATGCGCGAGAGCTTCCGCAGTCCAGTGATGCAGAAGCGGATGTCCCACAGAGAACCTCTTTCCAGCAACTCCAGTGTGTTGAGCAACTCTAGCACGCTTTGGTAGCCGATGATGGTCCAGGCCAATCTTACTCGCAGGGTTAGAAGGTGCTCTTCTACAACATTCTGAGACCTGGCATGGTTGACGACTGAAGTGCACATGGGAGTTGCTCAGTCCATTGCCCACTCAGGTTGACCAGTGGGTCAACCAGGGCCTGAGATGCAAAGGATGTTCAGTTCCAATTGAGTCTTGCTCGGACAACCTCAATATCGTGAGTTCTGGAGAGATTCTTTATTCATGACTTCTGGCTGATGTCATGACTTTCCTTTCATCGTGCTGTTTGGTCTTGGCTTCTGACACACCTCATAGTTTCCACTGACTGATTTCTCGCAGGACCAGAGTCTTCATTCTTCTGAACAAAACAAATTGAATCTCAAAAGCTGGACTAGCACACTATATCACTGTATTGACCCACAATCCATCTAATGAGACTGAGAAAGATGAGAGAACGCGGTTAAGAAAACAGTATTCTGTGTTGAACATTCTTACCGGATTGGTATATGTGCTTTTTTTTTAACAGGAATCCGAACAAGATAGATATTTTACTTAAACATCAGGCAGTCCAGTGAGACAATCGCTGTATTTTATTATGACTTTATTAATCCTTATTCTCACAGATGGTTAAGCATCTGCATTTAGAACTTTGTACACAGATTCCTAGAAGAAGCCAGTCATTCCACAGGCAGATAGATAGATAGACAGACAGACAGACAGACAGACTCATCAACTGAGATCAGATGGAAATTGAAATGGTAGGGGATTATTTCTCACTTGTTTTAAAAAGCTACAGCAATTACAGCAAAGGCCAGAGCTTCACAGAAGTGTTTCTCCATTGTGTATATATTCCACAGAGCCCATCTGTTGAAATGGGTTTCCTTTTGCCCCACATAGACAGTTGCAACAGAGGCTGTTCATCTTAGATTGAACATTCTTCCTGTACTGTTTTTTTTGTTGTTTTTTTACAAATCGCGCTTTATTCTTGAACTTCATTTATCTCGCAGACCATGGTAACCAAAACAGCAATACACCCAGGAATCTGTGCTATGTATTTGTCTTCCTTTTTTACCTGCCTTGAAAGTTTATTCTTGGGATGGCAATAAGAATTAAATAAATAAGCAAAACATATTATGTGTGGTCAGAGTTAGTCAATTTTCTGTTTCGTATATTGGGAAGAAGGATGAAAACCAAAAGCAAATTTCAAAGGGGACGGCTCTATTCCAATGTTTTTCAAACTTGGCAACTTTAAGATGTGTGGAATTCAACTCCCAGCATTCCCCAGCCAGCAACTTCTGGGAGTGGAAGTCGACACATCTTAAAGTTGCCGAGGTTGTGAAACGCTGCCCTAGACTAACATAGGTCTCCTCCTATAATATTTACAATACATAATTACTCATTGGACCCAGGCAGATTGTTTGGGCTGGAAACGTACACAGTTGCTTCCAATCACCCCGGAACCAGCCATTTCCCCCGCCCAACGATGGGATTTAGGTGGCCTTTTATTTATTTATTTTTCAAATTTATATGGCCGCTCATCTTACAAGAAGTGCCTCTGCGTGGCGTTCAGCAAAACAGTATAAAACAATAAACATTAAATAATAATAAACAATAAATAAATAAAACAATAAAGCTAAATCCAAAAACGCGAGGGAATTCCTGGAAGCTTGGTATTCAGACAAGTCAGCCATTCTGTCTAGCACTGAAGATGTTACCTAGACGGGTAATGAAACGTCTGCAAGAAAACAACCAAGCTCAGAGAAGCCCAAGGACTCAGAGAAGCTGAACTCCAAGGACAGTTCAGCCCTGAGCTGCATATATTCTCTTCTATATGTCAGTCAGCAACAGGCACATAGAGATAAACAACATTTACACATCATTTAAGAGACAATAAGAAAGCTAAGAAGGAAGTGAAAAGACCAGAACGCCTCCTCTCCAGCAACCAACACCCAGATAAGCAGGGATTGACACCAGACAAACAACCAAGCAGAAAACAATATCCCAATCAAGGAACTACCAAGGAGAAAGCTACATCTTCACCAACACTGACAGGGCAAGCTACTGTATATAAGCAGGGAGCAAACCCCACACTCCCTCGCACTGATGACATTACAAAGTCAGGTAATGAAACGTCTGCAAGAAACCACCAAGCTCAGAGAGCACCAAGGACTCCATCAGCCAACACCCAGATAAGCAGGGATTAACACCAGGCAAACAATCAAACAGAAAACAGTACCCTAGTCAAGGAACTGCCAAGGAGAAAGCTACACCCTCCCCCACACTGGCAGGGTGAGCTACTGCATATAAACAGGGAGCAAACCCCACACTTACTAGCACTGATGACATTACAAAGTCAGGTAATGAAACGTCTGCAAGAAACCACCAAGCTCAGGGAACACCAAGGACTCCCCAGTAGTTCAACCCTGAGCTACAGATATTCTCTTCTATTAGTACAATAAACATTCAAACACTGTCATATGAACAACAACAACAACAAAATACTAAGAGATTTGATCAGCAACGGAGCCACTTCAAGATCTCCCTGGTCCCCTGAGACCCCCAGGCCCGATGACACAGCCAGGTCTTGATGTGAGAAATGCACTCACGAGTCTCTCTCTGGATTGTTGTTGTTTAGTCGTTAAGTCGTGTCCGACTCTTCGTGACCCCATGAACCATATTGCGCCAGGCCTTCCT